GTGCCATAAAACTATGATTTTACCTTGAGATGGCTCTTGCTTTCTCTGGCGTGCTTGCTGAAGGAAATTGAGGTTCCACCCCAAAACCAATTGGCAATGGGGGGAGAAGCTCAACTTCTTATAAGCCCTTGTTAGGTTTCTCAACTTTTTAATGTGAGACTATGTACCTTAACATTCTCACACTTACTGTCTTTCTTTCCTCGTCCTGCAGCTGCTCCCTCTTTTCTCCCTTTTTTTTATCGCATGCATAACTACTCTTTATAGGCCCAAGTCTTGAGGAGTTTGAGATTGAGTGAACCATCACTCCCTGCCCTTAATGTTTGATACAAACACACTAACTGTTGCATCAAAAGAACTTTTATTCCTTTTGAACACATGTTGGTGGATTATTATTGCTATTATTCACTTTTAACAAGATTTCCTCTCAACCACCTTTTTTTTTTACTCGTACTTTCTTTATTTATTTATTTTTGAGTGAATATTATCACTTCAACACAAACCACACAAAATTGATTTTGTAAGGTAACAGAAAGAACATGAAGTATCTTTTAGATTCTTCCTGCTGGTAACGAACTTTGATTCTTTAGGTAGCACTTACTATGCATAAAATTGAGCTGAATCATTTTATAGTCTATCAACAAACAACTTTTTATACTTATGCAGCCTGAATTACCTAAACTTAATATAAATATGGAAAATGTCTTACACGTTTTATGTAGCTTGAAAATAAAATAAATAATATGTGGAAAAGTAAAACACAAAGTTGCCCATTAGTTTTAGCTCAAGAGCCATCGAATGGGTATGATATGATGGATGTCCTTCAAATCTTCATATGAATATTTTGTTTCCAATGAATTGAATGACTAAAATGAAATTCGGGTATACTTTCAAGAATCATTGCGATTAAAAACACTAAAAATTCAAACATAAATTTCCGGCAAGACTTAACAATGCTTGCGCAATTGGCCCTAATTGGCCCCGAGGAGTTTCAGAGCAAAGAAGGTCAGCCTGAAAAAGACAATGCTTGCGCAGACCATACAGCCACCGGAATAGCTAAGCCAACTTTTCTAAAAGCACAAGTTTTGGTTGTGATTTTCACACTCATTTTTTCAACTTCTACATTCAACTCTTGAATGCATGTAAAGTATTTTGTTTGGAGTGTAGATAGGGAGTGTAGATAGCTAAATAAAAAATAACTTATGCATATGCAGACAGAGAAAGTAGTTAACCAACATGTTAACTGGTAGAGAACAAAAAGGAAGAAGCTGCTAGAGAAAATACCAAAAGCAGACATACAAAACAGGGCCACTGCAAACAAGTTGACAGCCATACAAAATTAAAAGGAGTATGCTTCAGATTCTTTCAGATACATTAATATATCAAACTCGGCTCTTCATGCCTGTAGCACTAGTACTGAGGCATAACTTTAGCTGATTTATAGATGCACATTTTTATATTAGGGGTGGGTGGGCTAAAAAACACTGGTGAACTGATTGATGCAGGACCGAACTGGCCGGTTTGGCTCGATTATAGGTCAAAAGACTAGATTTGGCCGTCCGATATGCGTCCAACCCTAGTAGAAATTAGCCTAAATTGTCGGCAGATTTGACAGAAAATGAAATAACAAGGAATGCATCTAATTTGTTCTTATTCCAACAATTGGGTTCAATGGAACCTTCACTTAATCAATGAATCGTTGATTGTATTGAAGAAAACTCTCAAAAGTCTAAACATTATAGCTAGTGGTGTTTTATCATTTGACTATAGTACTTGTTAAATGAATATCAATACCAAAAAAGCTTTTTTTCAAAGCAAAATCAGATTTTATTTATTTATTTATTTTTACAGAACCCGTGGAGGGGTTCAAAAGCTGGAAAACGAGGCAGGCCTAATCACTTGGGATCCTTAGTGGAAGACTGAGTCAGTCAAATATATCAGAGTCTATAATTCCATTTTCACATGGAGCTGGAGTCTTGTACACCGTTGAACATACACAAAGGAGAAAGAAGAAGTGAAAGCTTTGATTGACTTGCGTATGGTAGGCGTCCATTCCACAAAATACAGAACCCAAAGTGGAGGCCATTGACCAGAATGATCCCAACACCACATTTTCAGAAAATAAGTGGATCAAAAAGCTTAAAATACTAAAAACGGGCCAACAAATCAGTCAGGCAAATGAGTACATAAAGAAACTTAGCGCATCTTCAGCAGATATGTCAATTCCCACATGGATATGACAAAAATTGAAGGTTAAAGTTGCTCCAACCGAGTAGTCAAATTCTACATGGATTTGAAGGCAGGAAGAGATATGTCAAAAATAACATATCAAAAAGCTTGATGTCAAATATTATTTTAATATTTTTTTAGTCATGAATCCCACTATCATTTACTCTCTTTTAAAACTTTATACATTATATGGTCCCATTTGTTTTTACAAATATAATAAAATAATATAATATTTGGCATTTTTGGTGAAGTTACTTTTTTTCCAAAATGTCAAATTGTCATATAAACCATCAAATTCAAATTTAACATTTTGCATTTGAATCTCCCATGCTCTTACAGCCCCGCTATGCACCATGTAAACTAACTTGATGGATCATTTTACACAACTTTTAGATCCCAAAATTTTAAATTAATTAGAAATGGATCAACAACGTTTATAAACGTACACACGTGACGTTTGCATTAGGTCAAATACACGTTGGTGTCGGTGAAAGGCCTTCATACTTCTATAAAGCAACGCAAGACACTAAGCTAAATCCTCAACACCATTCAAGATACTAGAAAGCAAGGCAGCATGATGCTTCCAAACTTTGCAGTTTCTTCATTGATTTTTTTCCTTCTGATATCAGCTTCATGGGCACAGACTCCACCTTCAATACAAGACAATTTAATCAAATGCCTCTCAAAATATTCTCAGACTTCCATTCCATTCTCCACTGCCTTTTTCACTCCAAACACTTCTATATTCACCACTGTCCTAGAATCTACTGCACAAAACCTCAGGTACTTGGTCCCTTCAGTGCCAAAGCCGGAGTTCATTTTCACACCAGTGCATGATTCTCATGTCCAAGCTGCTGTTATTTGCTCAAAAAAGCTTCAAATACACCTCAGGGTCAGAAGTGGAGGCCATGATTATGAAGGCCTCTCTTATGTATCCCAGATTGAAACACCTTTCATTGTTGTAGACCTTGCCAAGCTTCGGTCAGTCAAGGTTGATATCAAAAACAACAACGCATGGATTCAAGCTGGTGCCACCATTGGTGAGGTTTACTACAGAATTGCAGAGAAAAGCAAAACTCATGGCTTTCCTGCCGGGCTCTGCACGAGTCTAGGCATTGGCGGACATATAACTGGAGGTGCATATGGTTCCATGATGAGGAAATATGGCCTTGCTGCTGATAACGCCATTGATGCTCAAATTGTCGACGTCAAAGGGAAAATTCTTGATCGAAAGGCAATGGGAGAGGACCTGTTTTGGGCCATCAGAGGAGGTGGAGGAGCAAGCTTTGGAATCATCCTTTGGTGGAAGATAAAGCTGGTTCCTGTTCCAGCAACTGTGACAGTTTTTACAGTTGCTAAGACCTTGGAAACAGGTGCCACAAAGCTCCTCCATAGATGGGAACAAGTAGCTCCAGTAATTGATGAGGATCTGTTTATCAGAGTTTTCATACAATTAGCAAATGGCACCAAAACTGGCAGTAAAACAGTCACAACTGTTTACCAGGCCCTATTTCTTGGAGGTGCTGATAGATTAGTTGATGTCATGCAGAAAAGCTTCCCTGAATTGGGCGTGACAAGAAAAGATTGTACTGAAACAAGTTGGATCAAGTCTGTGCTGTTCATAGCAGGGTACCCAAGTGGAACTCCAACTGAGGTTTTGCTTCAAGGAAAATCCACAGGCAAGAACTACTTCAAAGCCAAATCTGACTTTGTCCAGAACCCAATTCCAGAAACTGGGCTTCAGGGGCTATGGAAGAGGTTGCTGAAAGAAGCCTCTCCTCTGATGATTTTGACCCCTTATGGTGGAATGATGAGCAAGATTTCAGAGTCTACACTACCTTTTCCCCACAGAGGGGTGCTGTTTAAAATTCAGTACGTGAGTGGATGGCAAGAGGGAGATAAAACTGAGGCAAAGCACATGAATTGGATCAGGAAGCTTTACAGTTACATGGCCCCTTATGTTACAATGTCTCCAAGGCAAGCATATGTGAATTATAAGGATCTTGATTTGGGGGTTAACAAGAAGAGCAACACAACCTTTATTGAAGCGAGTTCTTGGGGTTACAGTTATTTCAAGGACAACTTTAACAGATTGGTAAAAATTAAGACCAAGGTTGATCCTAATAACTTCTTCAGGCATGAACAGAGCATTCCACCTCTTCCAAAAAGAGGACATCACTAGGGAGCCAGAAGCTAGATATGGTATGGATTTGAATGGTTTGATCAGTGTGTTTTGTTCATCAAATTTTTATACAGACTCGAATAAATTTGTCATAAAAGTCTCTTGGAGACTTGGTGAGACATTCTACTTCTGTAGAAAAGTAATGTAATCAAATTCATTTCAATGGCTCAGCCCAACTTTTGCTCTAACTTTGTCATCTCCAGGCCCCAATCCGCCTAGATATATGATAATGTTTTGGTCAGACTATGCCAAAGAGAACTTACACTTCCTATACTCACAACTTGCGCATCCATAAGCTCAACACTCGTGCTAAAAAATAAAGGTTTCACTTATTGATTCAAAAAGTTGTAACTGAAGTTAAACTTTTGTTTTAGTTTTCCTTTGCACAACTTGCTCACTGATCATTGATTGTAATTCAAGAAAACGCTCAAGTAGAAATTTTTCTAACTGATACCATTGATGAGGAGATTTTGGATTTTTCAGTTTCAAATGCTTTAATTTCCTTTCAGTTACAAAATCTCAGTAGATGTTAACAGAGAAATTGAAGCATGAAAACCCCCAGCTAATGGAAACAATTGAAGTGGAAGCAAAAATGGCTGACCTTCTAACCTATGCAATAGTTTCTCTCTTCTTCTCAGTTTCCTCTGCGGTATTTGACCTCATCCCTGAACACAACTTTGTTACTTGCGTTGCCAACCAGTCTCCACAATACTCAGCCACCATAAGCAAATTGGTGTACAGCCCTCATTCCCCTTCATTTTCATTTATTTTTCAGTCCTCTATACAAAACTTCAGGTTCAACAGCACCAAATATCATAAGCTTCAATACATCATTACACCGTATAGCGCTGATCACGTCAAAGCTGCAATCATTTGTAGCAAAGTACATGGCCTGCAAGTCAGGATTCGAAGCGGTGGTCACGACTATGAGGGGCTCTCATATAATTCATATGTCCCCTTTATCATCATTGATCTTGTCAACCTTAATAATGTGAGAGTTGACAGCAACAATGGCACTGCATGGGTTCAAGCTGGTGCCACAGTTGGTGAGCTTTACTATCATGTTGCCAATCAGAGCAAAGGCCATGGCTTCCCAGCTGGTGTTTGCCCTAGTATGGGTGCTGGGGGACATATCAGTGGTGGTGGACAAGGCACATTGATGAGAAAATTTGGCCTTGCAGCTGATAATGTTGTAGATGCAATTGTGGTTACTGCTGATGGAAATATTCTTGACAGGCAAGGAATGGGTGAGGATTTCTTTTGGGCCATTAGAGGAGGTGGAGGAGGAAACTTTGGAGTTGTAGTTGAATGGAAGATCAATTTGGTTCCAGTTCCTCCTAAGGTGACAGTTTTCAACATACCAAGAACCCTTGAACAAAATGCAACCAAATTGATTCACAGGTGGCAACAGATTGCTCACAAGTTTCATGAAGATCTATTCATAAGAATCATTATATTTGTAGGCAAGGATTCTAAGGGTAGAAAAACAATCCAGGCCAATTTCAATTCATTGTTTCTTGGAAACAGTGATCAACTAGTCCCACTGATGGCAAAAAGCTTTCCTGAGTTGGGCTTGAAGCCTGAGGACTGCAAGGAAATAAGTTGGATCCAGTCCACTATTTACAGTAATGGTGAAAACCCAGGACAGCCCTTGGAGGTTTTGATAGAAAGAAACCATGTTCAAAAGGGCTTCTTCAAAGGCAAATCAGATTTTGTGACTGAACCCATTTCAGAAACAAACTTAGAAGCCATATGGAAGGTAATGCAAGAAGGTGAGGCTGGTGTTATGGTTTGGGATCCTTATGGTGGAAAAATGAGTGAGATTTCAGAATCTTCAATTCCATTTCCACATAGAGCTGGAGTTTTACACAACATACAATACTTCAGCAAATGGCAAGAGGGGGGATATTTGGCTGAGCAGAGGCATTTGAAGTGGATCAACAGACTTTACAACTTCATGGCTCCATTTGTGACTAAAAACCCTAGGACTGCATATGTCAACTACAGGGATTTGGACATTGGGAGAAATATCCATGGAAGATTTTCTGAAGCCAAGGTTTGGGGTGAAAAGTACTTCAAGGGAAATTTTGATCAATTGGCTCATATAAAGGGCATGGTTGATTATGGAAACTTCTTCAAGAATGAGCAAAGTATTGTACCAAACTTTTCTCTTTGAGGAAATATTTTGGTTGAAGTTAGAATCAAATTGGTGATTGGGACTATATATAACTCCAATTTTCTGTTACAAAGGCAAAAAAGGAATGTCTTTTTCCTATTAATATTTTGCTTTTGTCATCTCATAAACAATGTAATAACAATGTGTTTGTCCTCAAAGGTATGTTTTATATGTTGATCCTAAAATGCTACAGGAAAATAGAGAGCCGGTGCATTAAACTTTGTTGATGTAGGGGAGCTTTGTAAGGTGGCAAGTGGAATATGTAAATTGACACACTGCAACCATGCAAGACTCAGCTCTGGACACATTACACATTGCATTCAGGTCTTGACACATTGCAACCATGCAAGACTCAAGTGGAATGTGATGTTTAATATATGCAGCCAAACTCAAACTCAAACTCAAGCTCATCAAATCTAGCAGCCTGAACTCCTCATAGAGATGGCGTTAATTTCACTTATAGCTTCTTTGTTTTTGGTCTCAGTTTCACTGCCAACTTCTAGTTCAATCTGTGGTGAAATTTTCAGTCAGTGCATCACAGCTCAATCCAGTTACTACACAAGAATTTCTGATCAAACAATTCACACCTCAAATTCCACTTTGTATTCAACAATCTTGCAATCTTCCCAACAAAATCCCAGATGGTTAAACTCCACATCAAAGCCTCTTCTCATTGTTACACCTCTCAAGGAATCTGAAATCCAAGCAGCTCTTCTTTGCAGCAGAAAACTTGGCTTACAAGTGGGGGTTAGAAGTGGAGGCCATGACTTTGAAGGCCTGTCCTACCTCTGCAAAACCCCATTTGTCATCATTGACCTCATCAATCTGCGTTCTGTTAAGGTCAATGTTGCAGATCAAACAGCTTGGGTTCAGTCAGGAGCTACACTTGGTGAGCTTTATTATAGCATTGCCAAGAAAAGTGAGGTCCTTGGATTTCCAGCAGGGTTTTGTCCTACTGTTGGGATTGGTGGGCATTTCAGTGGAGGTGGGCTTGGTACCTTGATGAGGAAGCATGGCCTAGCAGCTGACAATGTCATAGATGCTCGCCTAATTGATGTCAATGGAAGAATCCTTGACAGAAGAACAATGGGTGAGGATCTGTTTTGGGCCATTAGTGTTGGAGTTGGCTCGACTAAACGAAGGAAAGAAGGAAGCAGCCCAGCATGCAGGCGCTCGAGCGGAAACTGCAGGCGCTCGAGCGGCAGAGGCATCTTGGTGCAGGAGCTCGAGCGGACTTGCAGGCGCTCGAGCGGATCGCGATTTCCTGTTTCATAACAGGTCGGTTTTTTGGCCTAGTTTTGGGAGTTTTTTTAGTTTCCTATTCCTTGTATGATTGTGCTAAAGGCCTATACATATAAATAGGTACTTTAGACTAGGGTTTAGAAGAGGTTCAAGATATACAAACCTAGGGTGAGAGAAAAAGAGATCTAGAGAGAGAGAGATCAAAGTGAGTTCTTTATTGTAACCAAAGAGATTTTTCTCATACTAGTGAATTTTCTCGGGGATCACCGGAGAGGACGTAGGCACGACGCCGAACCTCTATAAATTCTTGTGTGTTCTTGTGTGTGTTTGCTTTTGTGGTTTCGTGTGCGATTTATCTTTGCGTAGCTTGTGTTGTGATTGTTGCGTAGTCCATCAACGACAAGGTCTTGGAAGTGTTTTCGCACAACAAGTGGTATCAGAGCCGCGGTTGCGGCGGGCGTTGGTTTATGCCCAAGTGCTCTTATAACTTTAAGAGCGGCGGTGTGTTGAAGATGGCAGGCGACAAGGACGAAGAATGTTCCGGTACTAAGTCACAACGGGTATCAAGCACAAAGGTGGAGTTAAAGCCATTCACCGGCAAGGAGAACTTCACGCTTTGGCAAAGAAGAATGAAGCATGTTCTTAAGCAGCAGGGTCTTAGCAAAGTTTTGGAAGGCAAAGAAAAGAAGCCAGTAACCATGACAGATGCAGAGTGGGATGACCTAGACGAGCTTGCTAGAGGATCCATCGAACAACATCTAACCGATGAGGTGTTGTGTAATGCGATGGAAGACACCGCAAAACAAACATGGGAAAAGCTAGAAGAGATGTTTGCATCAAAATCATTGTCCAACAAGCTTTTCTTGAAGGAAGAGCTTCACTCTCTTAAGATGGAGGAGGGCACAAGCATGATGGAGCACGTGAGCGCCTTTAATAGGTGTATTGCTGACTTGCAGAGAATGGATGAGGTTTATAAGTCGGAAGATAAGGCCGTGATGTTGTTGACATCCCTGCCACCATCTTATAAACACTTTCACACGACGCTTATGTTCGGGAAGGGAACCTTGAAGTATGAAGAGGTCATGCAAGACATCCTGACGCATGACGCATGACAGAATGGTAGATCAAGCAAGCGTGAGGGCAAGAAAAGCAATAAGGGAAGGTCAAAATCCAAGGCGAAAGATGGTTGTTTCGAGTGTGGGTCAAAGGATCATTGGAAGAAGAATTGCAACAAAGGGAAGAAGCCGGATGAAGCCGGGGTCACGGAAGAGAGCGACGGTGAGCTTTTACTTACTAATAGCATTGTTAATACTGATGCACTTGCTATTACTTCCAGGGTTTCTGCTTCTGATTGGATTTTGGATTTCGGGTGCTCGTATCATATGTGTTCAAACAAGTCTTGGTTTGACACATATGAGATGGACAATGGCGGCGAAGTTATGAATGGCGGCAAAGTTATGATGGGGGACGGCTCAGTTTGTAGAGTCGAAGGAACAGGTACAATCAAGGTGAAGATGCATGACGGTGTGGTTAGAACATTGGGTATGGTTAGGTACATACCTAAGCTAAAGAAGAATCTCATCTCCCTGGGTACTTTTGACAAGAATGGTTATTCGTACAAGTGTATGGGAGGAAAGCTCATAGTTT